CCTCGAACCAAAGAGTACGAAGTAGCTTCTTGAATGGACCCATCATGCCAACATCCAATGATGGCATACGCTTGTGATATTCGCAGGCATTGTTCCAAAATGCTGTGAAGATCTCCTAGTAAGCAAAATTAACTACAACGACGCAAGAAGTTTTCGATTCTCGCCGATGGTATACGAGTTGTGACAGATAGGTATGACAGGCAATATGATACTCTGCTCTAATACAGTGCGCGCCAAATGATTGCAGACACCTAGTATTTTTGCAGAAAAACTCCGCCAATCAAGCTTCGCAAATGGCTGTTTCTTGCGAAAATTAAGCACTAATTGGCGGGATTTTTGAAGTAGTGACGACCTTGATAGCGCAAAATTTGATTGCGATAGGGCGATAAAGCACATTTCATGCTGCGACATAGATTTGTAGGTCAAAACGCATTTTGCTCTCTTTACCGCACTTTCGAACACAAACAACCCCGTAAGTCATTGGAATCGATGATGCCACTCATGCCGTACTAGTTGACACTGACAGAATGGGAAGTGCACCACCACTTTCCATCGAAGAGAAAGTTGCGGCTCGAATCTTCCGAAGCAACGGAATGTCGTACCGCGCAATTGGTACGACACCTGGACGCTCCAAGGACACCGTACGAGCATACCTAATTACCCCAGACACCTACGGCAAGAAGCAAAAGGCCGCAAGATGAAGTTGATAGTCCAACAAAAGTGCCGTCGCCTCTATCGAGAGGCGGCGTCAACTGGAACGTCCGCTCGGGCACTTCACTCGGCCCTCCAGCTCAAGGGCTCAATAAGTACTCGTCAGCGCAGACTCAAGGCATGCGGGTATCTCAAGTACAAGAAACGCAAGCACACGCCTTTTCTCAAGGAAGCCCACAAGACTGCGCGGTTGAAGTACGCGAAGGGTCACTTAGAAGATCCACCCAGTTGGACTGATGTTATCTGGTCTGACGAGAAGAAATTCAATCTCGACGGACCGGATGGACTTCAGTACTACTGGGAAGATCTTCGCAAGGAACCCGCCTCGTACTTCTCTCGCGCAAGCAAGGTTGGCGGTGTCATGGATTGGGGTGCGTTTTCGGGTGCTGGTTTGACGGAGTTGGCCTTCCTGGATGGCAAGCAGAACTCCGACAAGTACATCGATACGCTCTGCAACTACCTGTTTCCATTTGCTCATGAGCATTATGGTCCAGATTTTGTTTTCATGCATCTATTCACAGTTCGAAGGCCACAATGAAGTTTTTGGAGGACGAAAATGTCACGATTTTCGAGCACCCTGCCCTGTCCCCAGACCTTAATCCC